CGGGTAGCCCCGCGGCGGGGGTCCGGGGGTGAAACCCTTACCCCGGCTTGGGCCCCGAGGATCCCCGCATGACAACCCTGCTTTTTAGGGTTAAAAGGGTTAACCAAGGCTGAAAAGTGGGCTCCCTGTCAACCGCTTGGATAAAACTTAGATAAAAGTTAAATAAAACTTAGATAAAAGTTAAAATTTGCATAGACAAAATTTAACTAACTACTTGGATTTGCATAAATTTGGGCAACACTTCCGCTTTCCAAAATATATACAAAGCTAAGTATTGGAAAATAAGCTTATCCTAGAAAATGCAGAAATTGAACTAACTCCTATGAAAAATAAACTTGACTCAGGAAATGCAGGAATTGACCTTACTCCTATAGCTCTAGCACCTCGTAAGCATCTAAAGCAACTACCTATCAAATCTGACACTCAGACTACGTAGAACTCTCACTCAATCTCATACAAGTTCATACTACAATGGGTAAGTACTCTCACAAAACTCCCAAGTTATTTCATCATAGAATCATCCTACCACAAGCCAAAACCCAAACTCAGTGGTGTGTTAGAATTTGAAATCTTAATATTTATTTAGCCTTCTTTCTTTCATACGGCGATCATTGAAGCTCAACTCATTTATACCTTTTTTTTCAAGCTTTATTATCAAAAGCCCACCCCATTGTGAGAACTAGCATGGCTAACGAAAATGTTAGGTTGATTGAGATTGTTGTGTATACCACAGATGTATCTTATGGGTTGGACCCCGTTAAGCCTAACCTTAGAACCATTATTGTCATGCACAAGCCACTTATTTTACTCACTCATAAAAGCAGATGGGTACTTGTATTCACTAAGCCTTTAAAATAGATAAAATTCGCCCCCTTTGCTATGAATCCTACTTTTATAAGTAGAGTTCTTCACTTTCGTCACACAGTCTGCCAATTCCACCTACAAACTTTGCTCGGTGAGCAAACTCTCATAATCTTTCTTCCAAATAAAACTCAACATTTTTTTTTCTCAAAATTTCTCAGTTGTTGACAACGCCACTTTCAACCAAAACTAGACTCAAGTGAGAGGTCTGATAATCAGGCGGGTTTTTCAGCCGCAGATGATGCCCCACTGGCTAGTAGTCAAAACTTGGTCCTCACAATCATTGACTACCGCAGACTTAACTGTTTGTAGCCCATAACAAGTTAAGTGAAGGGTCACAGAATCAGGCGGGTCTCCCTGCGCAGATGACACATTCACCGACTATTAT